AGGTGTACGTACATGTATGTACTTACGTGTGGGTAGCTAAGTGCACGTTGTGCGCGGATCTAAGAAAAGAAAGAGGGTAAACAGAGATGAGGGGACTGGGACGAGACAAGAGAAATCTCGTCGTCGATAAATTCGCTAAGATTTCAGGACGGCGAAGGGTAGAAGAAGGTAGAAGGATGTAAGAAGGGAAAAGAGGGGCCACGTCGCAAAGAGCGTCGTGTTGACTATCCGTGCTCTCGAAAACACGTTCTTTCGTGCATCGATGTTATACATAAGGGGTGAAGCAGAGAGTGGTGCATTGTAATGAAACACGGAAGAAAGTTAAGGGCCCATCGATCGTTTAAGCCCTCCACGCGCTTGCTCGAATACACGAGCCAGTTAGAAGAAAAGTCAACCACGAGGAGAAATGAGCAAACTTTTATTATTAATTCTTCTTCGATACAAAAATCACCGAATAAATATCAAATATCGGCAAATGCAACGACTGTTATCAAAGAACAATGTCAAAGGTTTGAAAGGATAAGATTCCCAGTCAATGTCCTGGGTCAATGTTCAGCCTGTATACGTTTAAATTTATGCGAGTATCGGTGAAAAAAGCGACAACAATCGATCCCCACAGGGTGATCTCCTTTTTTTCGTCTCCAGTGTCGTGTTAAGAGAAAAAGAGGTAGAAATCCTCTCTAGGCACGGGATAAAGGGTAAAGGGGGACACCTGACCTTGTCCAGTGAATTAAACGACATCGTGGATGCCTCTACCGAGAATAGGTGTCGGTGTCTTTTTTAATTAAAATTCCTTCGTTACACAACGAATGTTGTGGAAGCGGGGGAGGAAAAAGGAGAAAGGGGAGAATAAAGAATGAGGGAGGGAGAGAGGGTGGCCAGAAAGAGGAGCGGATCTGTGTGAAAAAGCTTTTAATTAGCTATCGGCGCGAATGTTTGTTACCGTTTGAAGGAGAGCTCAGCTATACCAAGGAGGGAAAACCGTGAAACAGTGAGTCGAGAGGGGAAACTCGAGTGGCTCGAGGACGAGGGGGAGAGGAGGGGATTGACGTTATGCAATCCTCCTCCCGACCTTCCCGAAGAAATTTATCATCGCTTTCCTACGAGACGCTCTTCTTCTCCTTGTTGCCGTTCAACGACAAAACACGGATTTATTCGACGCCAATTTCGCTATCACGGCCCCGCCTCGATCGTTTCAACCTTTTCTCCGTACACTCGCACCCTCTCCGTGACTTAGTTCGCTCCTAGTTATATCTTAATAAACGAATATTTCTGTAAAGGACCTGCACCTTGTTGTTCCATCATTATATACATTCATACTATCTTTATTATACGTCTATATACTATCACGGATTTGAAACACCATAAACTACGGATGCACTAAACTTGAAGACTCTCGACCGGGACGCAGGGCAGATATTTCAACGATGTTATTATTGCCTTTCCGCCCCGCATACACGTGACTCCATACTGATGCCAAAAAACTGAGAAAAACTAACAAACAACGAGAGCGAACCGGGCTAAAACGGCGAAAGACAAAGAAGAGAGAGAGAGAGACAAACAGACAGAGGGGGACCTTTCGAGAAATCAAACGGATGGTCGTTACTGACCTTTAAACGCTCGTTATTAGGTTGTCACGGTACACCATCAATCGTCAATCGAACACGCACATCGTCATAAGGATCACAAGTATCACGAGCGAGATCAGACAGTTTGGGCGAGCGTTGGTTCGGCGAGACGGGCACGAACGTGCTGGTCACGTCACGTCTATAAGCATCGCCGCAACCGCGAGCCTCGTCGAGACTGTTGTCCTCGTCGTTCATGCCAGAAGCGCTGGCTTCCGCCGTTTGCCTCTGCTTCTGCTACTGCTGCTGCTGCTGCTGCTGCTGCTGCTACCGCTACTATTCACCACCATGATCTCACACGATTCGTCGTCCGCTTCGTCATTTTCTCTGTTCACCACCTATTGACGTTCCTAACACAGCGTTACCTTTGATCTCGTACTGACTGCCGACTGATCAACTATTGGGCCAACAGTCGTTTCGTATACCGAAACAAACGAACACTTGAATCTAACATGTATTATATGAGTTTCTTAACGAATCACTACTTGGTTTTACGTTTCTCGCACTGTACGTCCCTACACTGTAAAAACGATAGAAGATTAGATCTAGCGGCACACAACGACACCACGTAAGTTCGTGCAGGCAGTTTCTCGCGGGAGGAAGACGGCCACTGTCACGGGGTCTCGCCACTATCGTGGAAGAGACGGTGGTAACGCGGCTGGCATCGGGAAGAGTTCCTCGCGCACGGGGGGTGGCTGTCAACAGCGCCCGAGGTAGGCAACCGGACTGACTCCGCGCTGCACGGTGTCGGCGACAGACAGCGCGACCACCGACGAGACAGAGATCGACGATCGGTTCGGCTGCATACGAGGGGGATGAAACGAGAGAGAAACTCCGCGAGAGGCGGCGGTGGCGGCCACCGAGGT